CACCTGTATTCATATAAGCTGGAGTATTTTTTGAAATATTTTAAGTGTAAAGTTGGACAGTAATGCAACATGATTTTTCATCTGATGTAAACAGATTTTTAAAATGTTGACTCAACAGAGGCCATTAATACGTATTTGGATTAAAGAAGCTTTAAATATGGTTATTTTCTTCTGCTTATCAGTAAACTCTGAGTATCTGTGTTATACTTAAGTAAAATTAACTCTGACTAAACATGTCTTTCAAAGTATTTATTTAAAAAAAATCCCTGGGCTGGAACTTTCTAATGTGCTTTGGTTTTTTGTTTGTTTTTTTACCCTGTCTGGTATGGTGTATAACACTAGACTTCAGTAGGGGTTCTTTTTCTGTTACAAAGGCCTCAAAAGTGATTTTAAAATTTCACTCAGATCATCATCATCCTTGCACAACATGAAAAAATATGGATCCAGATCTACCCACTATCAGATGGAGAGGAGGCATGGGGCTTCCTTTCATCTAAACTGTAGGGATGGTGGAAAGAGATTCCAGAGAAGAGCTTCTCTCCCCCAGAAACTGGCAGCAGTAGGGTGGTAAAGGGGAGCCTCTTCCCACCATTGGAGATCAGCATGAAGGGAAAGGACTTGGAGCATTTCTTTCCTCTCATCAGCAACACCTTTGCTCATCCAGGTAAGGGGCTCAGCGCTCTGCTGCCCCTGAACGAGCATGAGGTGATGAGCTCTCCATTCGCTGAATGGCAGGAAGCTCCCCTGCCTGCACAGCAAGCTCCATGGCTCTCTGGCAAACTGCTAGGAACCTCAAGGGGATGAGAGGCAGCATGCAACACCTCCAGCTAGCTTACAGAGGACACTTTTCCAGAGGTACCACTGTAGCTGCTTCTTTTCTCTACAAGCCAAGTACCTCCCATAGCTTGGTGTGAAGTGCTTTGCCCCCTAGCCATTGCTTGGGAAGATGCTCTTCTTTCTTTTGCGCATAAGTTATTTTTAAGCCAACCTCAAACTCCACAGCCAGAGTTATAATCGCCGTAGTGGCACTGTTTAGGGCTAGTGCTGATCAGAAAAACTGGAAATCGTGACAAGTTTTGTGAAATCATGGCAATAACACCCCCAGCCATTTGGGAGAAAATACACAAAGGGCATTTGGGAGAAAATACAAAAAAAAAAAAAAACCAGCAATGTTACAACATCCGGAGAAAATACAAAAAAAACAACAACAAAAAAAACCCAGCAATGTTACAACATCTTGTTTTGATATTTTGGGAATAAAACATATTTTTCAGCTCTACAGAGGAGGCATGTATAGCTTCACTGACATAGCCCACTCTCTTAAAATCTTCTGCATGATGCATCCGGTGTCACGGCATAGTATAAAAACCCGAGGAACACAGAATTCCAGTTTTGGAAAGCAAAGTTAGCAACAGCTGCACACAATGCAGCACCCTACACATTGGGATTTTTTAGAAATCTGAATTTTATAATACATCACACAATAAAGTGTTCCCTGTAACAGGGTACTGCATGTCTGCACTCAAAGCAGATAATCACATGAATTAGAAAATTCAGCTCCCAAGACTGATGCTCATATTTGTTCTTAACAGCCCAAAACAATGCAGCTGAAAGGTATAGCTTGTCAGCAAAGAACAGTAGGTGCTTTGAATTTCTGGATCAATAATTTATTTCCAAATTCTTCTCAAGCAACTGGAAGCTTGGGCCTAGCTCTGAGGTGTGCACATTTCTAGGGGTGTGTGTTTTTAGTCAGTACAAAACTAAATTTACATAAAATAGTTAATACAATTTAAATGAACATTCTCTACATACATGTCCCTAAATCCTGATGTGCCCTGAGGCACAATTAGTATCCTAAGGAAATAACATACAGTGGAGATGTACAGTATAGTGTTAAGAGCATTCATGAGTGTAGGTTTTCCTTCCTATCTGCACATATAGGGCTTGAACCAAAGCCTGTGAATGTTAGGAGGCCCATTACTATTTCACACACAGGTGAATATATTATATCTACTATTTTCCCATCAACTGCCAATTTTATCCCTCCAGCCTCTGTCCCCAGTTAATCAGGTAGGCTTTGTTCTTTATTTAGCTGTTGCTATTGGTTACCATGGTGACTCATGCAGTGCTTAATTTGTGCCAGAGCTGCTTGCTGTACCAGGGTCCCTTACCTGCATGGTGTCAGGTCATACATCCAGCTATTGTTGCTCCACTTTTGGCTTGAGGACTCCACTAGTGCATTGGTAAATTGTTGCCTTAATACATCACTCACTCACCCCCGCACCCGCTGCAGTATTGTTCTTCTGGGGTTTCTGCCTCCTCACAGGCTCTCATTACAGCGCCGATATGGGCTGCTTCCCATGCTTTATTCAGAGCTGAATGCCAGGTCTGCTTTTTTTCACACCTTATAAAGCAGAGCATGCCATACATTTAGTCAGCAGGCATCTGAGCTTGGTCACAGGTTCATTTAGTCACATGATCTTCCCTGCACATGTGCGCGCACACAGTACATTTTAGGGCCCATTGTTTCAGAATGTCTTTGTTGATCTGAACCAGGACTGCACATCCCATTTCAGCAGGCAGCCTGCCTGTGCTCTCTATGCTTGGATGGCGGAATCCATGAAGGGATTCTTTGCAGACTCAGGACCAGAGCCATACATTTTAGGGGGTATTTTCTCTGAAAAAATTATATTATTCTAGTAGTGCATGAAGAATAATTCACATATCAGTCAGTACCAAGACCAAAGCATGGGAAAGCAATCTAATTAGGAGTGTCTGCCTCTCAAACAAGTCTCAGGTAATAAGACATGACAAATCGTTGGTAATCATTGTGGTTTGGCACAAAAACAGGTGCCTTTTCTTCTATTCAGTATCTTTTGTGTACATGCTTTAAGTAGAAAACACCTAATGTAAGTATAGTATGAAAGTACAGTAAACTTCCGATAATCCGGCACCTTTAGGACCCAGAGGGTGCCGAATTATCAGATATGCCGGACTATCAGAAAGGGGGCTATGAGGGTCTGGGGTGGGGTAGGGGAAATGGGGGGGTTGCCGAATTATCAGATATGCCGGACTATCAGAAAGGGGGCTATGAGGGTCTGGGGTGGGGTAGGGGAAATGGGGGGGTGATGCTGCGGGACCAACCCGGCAGCACCCCAGCTGCTCTGCCCCAGCTGTCCCCAAGTTAGCTGCTGCTGAAACTGACCAGCGGCTGACTCGGGGAAGCCCAGGGCAGAGCAGCTCCAATTGTCTGGCTGCCTGGAGCACTTCCGGGTTTCAGGTGGTGCCGGACTATTAGGAGTGCCGGACCACTGGATGCCGGACAACTGGAGTTTTACTGTATTTGGTATTTTTTGGTGATTTCTAGTGCTACTAACTTAGGCTACATCTAAATGTAGGAGTACAGGGTCTTTCGAAAAGGTGCCCCATTGTCGAAAAAAACCCGCATCTAAACTGTGGTTTCAGTTTCAAAATGGTGCTTGTTCGAAACAACCCCATGATGTGATTATGCAAATGAAGCATGGGATATTTAAATCCCCACTTCATTTGCACTTTCAAAGTGCTTCATTTACATCCCTCTGCTGACAGACGGGTGTAGTTTAGACGTAGCCTATATGTCCCCAAGTACCAAATTATGCCTCCTTCTGAATGGAATCTGCAGAGTATCATTTTTTTTACAGTACCTGTAAGTCATCTGCAGTACAACACCAGGGCTTCCTATCCTGGAGTTCATGTTAATGTTAAGATGGCTTTTTGTGTATTTCCTAACTTTCCAACTTAGAATGGGATATACTGAAGAAAAGAAAAATAACGCATTATCAAAAGTACATTCATTCCATAGAAAGCAAAGTCTTCTAAAGATATACTGCAATAGTCAAAGTAATTTTGTTCTTTGTCAGTACAGGCTGAATAAGAAAACAAGGGAAAATAAAAGCCATACACATTTCTATTTGATATTGTCATTTCCCCCCCAAATCTTAAAGCCATTTTTTCAATAAAAATGCACTTTCTTTTATTTCTTAGAAGTGAGTTTGCATTTTTGAGACAGGAAGTAGTCAATTTTAGCAGTTTCAAAAAAAGAGAACTCAATTCAATTTATGTACTCTTATTTCTTTGCACATTAAGCATCCAAGTGTGTAATCACTATGGGCCTGTTTCAAAGTTTGTAGCAGTCAATGAAAAACAGGACAGCTAAATCCTGTACTTCTGTCTCAAGCAAAATTCCCTTTACAAATAATAAATAATGGGAGTTTAGCTTGGAAAAAAAGAGAATGTTTTAGGTTAAAGACAGATTTTAAAGTAAGACTTCACTAGCTCACCTCTAGGCCTTTATTATGCTACTTATCGCCTTTTTATGACATTAGTTGATCCTCCCTTTTTGCAAGCATTTTCTGCCTGCACACTTTTTAGTTGTCTCCACACACAAATTCTGCTGCTTCTGTTTAACCCTAATATCACTTCTAGAGTGACGATGGCCACCTATTCTTCTTTCTTTTATTCTCCTTCAGAGGAGTGTCATTTGTTGCAGTTTAATAATAGCATAAAATATTCTATACTATTCCATGCATACATTTAAATATTTCCTCCTAGTGACGCACACTCACTAAGTTTCTTAATATCACACACATTGCTTTCTTGAAATCTAAACCCTTTGTAAGACTATGCTCCATGAACCCATTTCATAGGCCATTCAAGTACAAGAATTGTTGTCTTTGTGTTAAAGCATTTTATGCCTTAGTGTCACCAAACTTTCCTATTACCATCATTTTCATAGTCAATTCCTCCTTAAGGAAATCCACATTCTACTTTGTGATTCACGCAATACCAAATTCAGTGCAGGAGGACAAAAGATCACATTTTAATTGCTTTGAAAAAGATTTTTGTTTTGTTATTGACCATATATTTATGCCCATTCAAGACATGTACTTTGAGTTCAAACATACTGGTTCTCCACACTGATCATAATGAGCTCTCTTCAGGGGGGTATACTGGTTCTCCACACTGATCATAATGAGCTCTCTTCAAGGGGGGGGGGGAACCATAAGGGCATGCTTTTCAAAGGCATGCTCATTAACTACCCATGCGCATAGCGTAAACAGGAACAGGAGCATATACCTTTTGTCTCTAAATAGGCTGTGTGTGTAAACAATAGTAACAGAGGTAGTAGTAGTAGTGAGCTGAAATTATTAATTTATCAGCATCATGCAAATATACTAGTTTAAATGTAGAATCAGTTTATGTAAATAAGTGATTCTCCTCACATTTTTCAACTTTAGGATAGCAGGTCTGAAGGATCCCTCTACTTTCCCCTATAATATCCCTCACTGGAAGCGCCTTCTTGTCAATGAAAGAGGACCAAAAAGGACTTATTTCAGAGTAAATCAATTCTCATCTTTGAGGACTGCTGTTGAGCCACAAAGAGAAGTTCATTTTACTTCCCACAAAAGTGAAAGGTGCTATATTGGCACTGATAATTGTTCCCAATGGCCAGGTGATAAAGAAACAAGAAATGGAATCAAAGGCGTTGCTAATACGGCAGTGCTCTGCTCTCCCACCAGGTAAATAAAGACAGCCACTATCAGAAGGCAGTTCGTTTTTAACTTCTTCTCTTCTCTTCATTATTGTTCTTCAGTTTAGCAGCTGTCCATAGTTTATAGATGGCTGAGCATCGACATCCCAAATAAGCACCAGACTTCTGGTTCTTCACCTCATACGGCTGCCATACAGCTTTATGAGAACAAGCAGTCCATTCTTTCTTACACCAGCATTATGTTTCTCAGTGCAGCATAACATCACTGGCAGCTGGGCAAGTTCTTGATAGGAAACTCCAAATTAAATTCTGTTTCTTTACTGGCTCTACTTGTTTTTGAATTTATTAACCACATGAAAGGCCTCTAAAAATTCATTGAAGTCAATGCTGCCATCTTTGTTGACATCAATGCTGCGAGCTAAGTTGTCAATAGATTCATCATCTATGTCGATCTTGAGATGAGAATTAAAGAGTTTCCACGTCTGGCGAAACTCCTCAATGGAGATCAGACCTAAAGCAAGAGATAGAAGAGAGAAGAAATGCACTATTCTATTCAACCTATCTCCCCTCAAAAGGGCTATTTGCCACCTACCTCCCCGCTCGATACACAATCATTTCTACATCAGAAGTAACAATGGGAAGGAGGGAAATATGACAAATAAATGACCAAAAATGGTGAAGGCATACAGGAAATTCTTCCATAGCTGTATGCCAGCCAGGAGCACCCTGAGGCGGGCTGCGGCAGCTGGTGCCCCAGGCGGAACGCGTGATCAGCGCCCCACCTGCACGGCCGTCAATGGACTGACATCATCATCAGGCACCCTGGGTGCCCCGTGATGTCTTCATCAGGCGCCCCGGGCACCCTGTTGAAGGTGGCGCCCTAGGCGACGGCTGAGTCTGCCTATAGTCACAGGCTGCCCCTGACCCCAGCCCTTATACAGGACTGAACCAAAAGACTTTAGTTAGCTCTCAATTAACCAGAAGTCACTCATTTCTGGTTTTTGCATCAAGAAGGAAAGCTGGGAGGATAAGAGTCAGATAAAAACAGTTTTAAAATTAGAACAACAAATATACGCTTCCTAGACCTGCAGTAGTAAGCAGAAATTTTCCTAATATACCTGAATGATCTTTGTCAATGATGTTAAAGATTATCTCCAGATCAGCTCTGTATCGGTAGAGGGTTTCCACCAAAGCTGGTTGTACCTATGAAGATAATGAAATTAAATGCCGTGGGTAGATCATACCTCAATCTGATTTAGATTAACAGGACAAACACTGTACAAATCTAAACAACAAAACAAATATACAAAGCATACATTTTCAAATATTAAAAAGACTCCTTTAGCATAGCTTCAAAGAGGTGATTTTCTGCCTGACTGTTTATTGGTAAGTCTTTCAGTTGCCAGACACATTGCCACTAGATGGCTAAGAGAATTGTTGCTGGAATAAGTAACTGTTAATGAAAGCACAGGTAACCTGCTGGGGTACTGCATGTAGTGCACTCAAAGACACAAAACTTTAAGGTGAATATGGAAAGTGACCTTGCTGTTCTTTGGGAAAAAAAAAAAAAGGAAACTGCAACTGCAGGCTGGGCTTTCGAAAGGACTCAGCACCCAGAGCTTCTATTTAGGTAAGTTCACACTGTAAGTGAAACATGACTGAAGCACAAGGAAGCATGCCCATGGTAGTTTTAATCTAGCAATCACAGCTAACTACATAAATGGAGGCTCTGGCTCCAGCCCAGCCGAACAACCTGAGTATATATCCAGGGTCCCCATCAGACTTGCACTCAGGTGGCTAGTCCAAGTACAAGCCCATACCACCATGTGTTCACTTGCTACGATTATTCATGCAAACTAGATTAAAGGTTTACTACCCATACAACAATCAGACCTTTGCTTACGGTGTAGATATATCCTTCAGTCACTTTAGAAAATGGACAAATGTTAAAAAAATTCACTTCCTATTTAGAACTTTTTGAAAATATGACCCTTTTATTTAGCTTCCAATATGGAAAAAGCATTTTGAAAATCTGGCCCCAATTCTGAGGGCTGAACATTTTTTAAAAACTGGTCCTAAGCATCCAAGAACACGTTCCTCTAAGATTCAGTTATGATTCTTCTCCCTCACCTCTTTTATAGGTGGCTCTATTTCCAAATCATTAAAACTGGAAAGATACTCGACACTTCCATCGGGGGCAAGCTGCACCAACCGAGAACGCAGAGTCCTCCATGGGAGAGCCAGATGTAAAACAGATTCCATTGCTGAGGCCCATTCAGTGGCAGAAATCCTTCCTGTCAAAATGGATCGTTTCACAGTTAGAAATGATGCATGAATGCACTCTCCCTAACTGCTAGTAATTGTAGTGGATGTTTTTCTAGAGATGCAGAATAGTCTAATACAAATATGCTGACAGAAAAATCAGACAATATTTAATAAAGTGTTTCAGTACAGAGGAAATAACTACATACTGAGCACTTACTTTATTCAAAAGGAGTATCACAGAGCTGAGGTCCTGCAAATATGTACTATAGCTGAATTACCATGAACAGCTGACAAAACTACACAAGACACAGAAAACGTGACTTGACTGTTTAGCTCGGTAATGGTGTTTATGACCTCAACATTTAGGTTCTCCACTTTAAAGGGCATTGGGGTGAAATAGTGTCATAAGGAAAAGATTTTTGAAGCCCAAAGATTTTAATCTCTACTCCTGTAGAGTACAACTACAAATTTACCTTCACTTGATACCTCTGGGGATGTCTACACTACAGAGTTATTTTGAAATAACTCCCCTTATTTCAAAATAATAAGATGAATATCCACACAGCAAGACCGTTATTTTGAAATTATTTTGAAATAACGGGCTTGATATTTCAAAATAATAACCCCTCATTCTATGAGGAATAACATCTATTTCGGAATTGCTATTTTGAAATAGGGTTAGTGTGGACGCTCGGCTGCTGTTATTTCAAAATAACTACTCCCTAGAGTCATTCAAAGTAATTACTCCCCAGTGCTTCCTGGGGCTCTAAGTCGAGATAGCGTGTCCACATTAAGGAAGCCTGCCTCAGACTAATTTTGAAGCTTCCCTGTAATGTGAACGTGCTCTTTCAAAACAGTTATTTCAGGAGTTGTTATTTTGAAATAACCTGGTAGTATAGGCATAGCCTTGGTCTACGTCTACACTGCAGGCTTTCTGCACAAGAATGACTGTGCTTGCACAAAAACTTGTGGAGTGTCTACACTGCACATGCGTTCTTGCACAAGTAAATTTACAGTAAAGCATAGGAAAAGAGGGCTTCTTGTGCAAGAGTTATTCCTCTTCCCACGTAGAATAAACCCTCTTGCACAAGAGCTCTTGCACAAGAAGGCAGTGTGGACAGGCAACAGACTACAATGGCCATCAGAGCTTTCTTGCGCAAGAGAGTGTCCACACTGCCATGGATGCTTTTGCGCAAGAACTCTTGTGAAAAACAGTTCTTGTGCAAGAAGCCTGCGATGTAGACGTAGCCTTGGTGTTTGTGTTTCTCGTTGCATTGCCCAATGGCTTCACCCATTTTAGGCACTTGTCAGACTATAAGGAGGAGATTCCCACTCTCTTAACTTTTTACCCTGGCCCTCACAGTTCCCCTCAGGCCTAGCTTTCTGAAGGGCTACGTCTACACTGGCCCCATAAAACGGAATAGTCATGCAAAGCAGGTAAGTCAGAATAGGGAAATCCGCGGGGGATTTAAATATCCCCCGCGGATTTAAATAAACATGTCTGCCGCTTTTTTTCCGGCTTGGGGAAAAGCCGGAAAAAAGTGTCTAGAACTGGCGCGATCCTCCAGAATAAAGCCCTTTTCCGGAGGATCTCTTATTCCTACTTTCAAGAAGCCCTCTTTTCCTATGCTTTCAAGTAGGAATAAGAGATCCTCCGGAAAAGGGCTTTATTTCTTGTACTTACACAAGCATTGGCAAAGATACAGTAATGAAGGGCCAACCAGAAAACCATTTTCTAGACCTACTCCAGTGGTATCTAACAGCAGCCATTTGACAAGCATATTTAGGCCCTGATCCTCTGAAGTGTTGAGCACTAACTGTAAGATGCTGAGACCCTAAGAGCTAAGGGCAATGTCTACACTACAAAGTTAATTCGAACCAACAGACGTTAGTTCGAATTAACTTTGATAGGCACTACACATACAAACCGCTAGTTCGAACTTAATTTGAACTAGCGGAGCGCTTAATTTGAACTAGGTAAACCTCATTCCACGAGGACTAAGCCTAGTTTGAATTAACTAGTTCGAATTAAGGGCTGTGTAGCCACTTAATTCGAACTAGTGGGAGGCTAGCCCTCCCCAGCTTTCCCTGGTGGCCACTCTGGGCACCACCAGGGAAACTCTTCTGCCCCCCTCCTGGCCCCGGAGCCCTTAAAGGGGCACGGTCGGGCTACGGTGCCCGTGCCAGGTGCAAGCCTGCCAGCACCCAGCCAGCAGACCCTGCACCTGGCATGGCTCGAGCCCGCCACCCGCTGCCACCCAGCCCTCCGCCTCTTCCCGGGACCAGGCTGGCGGCTCCCGGGAGCCTGCCCAGGTCTGCAAGAGGCGGGTACCCGCCCGGTCTAGTGCAGACATCGTGGACCTCATCCACGACCTCCGCACTAGGCACAGGAAAGTAGCCGTCTAGCGCAGGATAGCTGTCAGCCTGGCCACCCAGGAGCAGGTTGGCATGAAAATCAAGGGGGTCCAGTGAGACCTCCGACCCTGAGCCCTGAGCTTAGAATGGCCGTACTGGGTCAGACCAAAGGTCCATCTAGCCCAGTAGCCTGTCTGCCGACAGCGGCCAACACTAGGTACCCTGGAGTGGATGGACCGAAGACAATGACCAAGCCATTTGTCTCTTGCCATCCATCTCCAGCTTTCCACAAACAGAGGCCAGGGACACCATTTCTACCCCCTGGCTAATAGCACTCCATGGACCCAACCTCCATGACTTTATCTCACTTCTCTTTAAACTCTGTTCTAGTTGTAGCCTTCACAGCCTCCTGCAGCAAGGAGTTCCACAGGTTGACTATTTGCTTTGTGAAGAAGAACTTTCGCTTATTAGTTTGAAGCCTGCTACCCATTCATTTCATTTGGTGTCCTCTAGTCCTTCTATTATGGGAACTAATGAAGAACTTTTCTTTATGCTCCCTCTCCACACCACTCATGCTTTTATAGACCTCTATCATATCCCCCCTCAGTCTCCTCTTTTCTAAGCTGAGAAGTCCCAGTCTCTTTAGCCTCCCTTCATATGGGACCTATTCCAAACCCCTGATCATTTTAGTTGACCTCCCCTCTCCCACCCTCTCTCTTCCCCTCTCCCACCTCCTTTTCCCAGTCTCCCCGAGTTTTGTTCAATAAAGAGAGTTTCTATTTTTGAACACACGTGTCCTTTATTTTGTACATGAGGAAGGGGGGCTAGGGATGGGTAAGTGGAAGGAGGTGAGGGAGGAATGGGGTACGAGCCCCCGATGGGGAGGACTGGGGTGGCTCTGCGGGCTCCTCGGGGTGGAAGCTCTCCTGCAGCCCCCCGATTGACCCCTCCTCCCCGGATGGCATCCTGTGGCGAGGGCAGCCGGGCTGATGGCCGAGTGCTGTGATGTGCCGAGTGTGGGCATTCAGGGCACTCCAAGCTAGGACTGCTTTGCTGTCCCTCATCGAGTTAGACAAGTGAGCAGGGAACCCCTGAGAACTGTCTGTCCGAGGTGGAGGTCGGGTCCCTTTAAGCACAGCCCTCGGCTAGGCTGAGACAGCAGCTCCACGCTCTAAGTCCTAATCGGATGCCCTGCCGGCACTGCTTCCGGCCAGCGTTAACTTCGGTTCAGGGTCCACTCAATGTGGACATGCTAGTTCGAATTAGCAAAACGCTAATTCGAACTAGTTTTTAAGTCTAGATGCGCTAATTTGAATTAGCTTAGTTCGAATTAGTGCTGTAGTGTAGACATACCCTCACTGACTTCATGGGTAATTGCTGCCCTTCCCTTCATTCACCATGTGTTCTACAGATTCTAGTTTCTTCAGTGGATGCCATTCATTTGAAAAATATGTTGTGCTACTTAAATGGAACAATTATTAAGACAAACCATACTCTTAATAAAAAAAACAACAACAAATGGTCTGGTAGCACTTTATAGACTAACAAAACATATAGATGGTATCATGAGCTACCATCTATGGCCACGTCTACACTGGCAGCTTCTTCCGGAAGAACATATGTTCTTCCGCAAAAACTTGCTGGCTGTCTACACTGCACGAGTGTTCTTCCAGAAGTAAATTTACAGTATAGCGTTGTAAAACAGGGCTTCTTCTGGAAGAGTTATTCCTCTCCCCATGAGGAATAAGCCCTCTTGTGCAAGAGCTCTTCCAGAAGAGGCCACTGTAGACAGGCAACATGAATTTCTTGCGTAAGAAGCCCCTATGGTTAAAATGGCCATCAGAGCTTTCTTGCAGAAGAGAGCGTCTACACTGGCATGGATGCTCTTGCGCAAAAGCACATGCCAGTGTAGACGCTCTCTTGTGGAAGAGTTCTTGTGCAAGAAGCTGCCAGTGTAGACGTAGCCTACATGTTTTGTTAGTCTATAAAGTGCTACCAGACCATTTGTTGTTTTTCTTTCTGTAACAGACTAACTCAGCTATGCCCTGAAGCTCCTGTACTCTTAATGCACTCCAGTGTTGAGGAAGTTTGTTCTATGCACTGTTTATAAGTCTTTACACAGAAAACTATCCTATATCAAATAAATAATAATAATTTAATACTAATAACGTACTAATAATATATCAAAATAATTAGTTTTGGGGGAATTTTACAATTGTTGCATTTGGAGCCATAGCAAAATTGCCAAATTCCCCCAGATATTTGCTAGCTGTTAACTACATCTTAGAGAGAGTGGATTGCTGCATTTGATAATGCTGGCAACTTAATTTTAAGAGCCAATTACTTTTATCTGAAAATGAAAGGAGGGTTGTGGGTGGCTTCAATACCTGTGTAATTTGGGTCATACTGTTGGAAAGCTGCAATGAGTTCCGATCTCCGGCAGTAAAGTTTCTCTCGTAATGACTTCAGTGCAGACCATTCAACTACACTCACTCTATGAAGAAAATAATCAGAGAGAACAATTAAAAGATTGAAATTCTCTAGCCCTTCAATTTTTTCCATGTGCAGTATTTCTAACAATCCTCTGTAACAAACAATATCCATTTAGCGATGAAGAGTCCTGTGGCACCTTATAGACTAACTGAAGTGTAGGAGCATAAGCTTTCATGGGCAAAGACCCACTTCGTCACATGCATCTGACGAAGTGGGTCTTTGCCCACGAAAGCTTATGCTCCTACACTTCAGTTAGTCTATAAGGTGCCACAAGACTCTTCGTTGCTTTTGCAGATTCAGACTAACACGGCTACCCCTCTGATAATATCCATTTAGGAGCTGTGCAAGGAACCCTTCCAAAATAGTGACATTAAAAGCCAGAAAGAATTGTCTGAGCTTATCTGGTGGCTAGGCAGAATTACACATTTAAGTAATAAGTCCTTTAAATTAGCAAAGATGGCTACAGTGCCATGTGCAGCAGAATTATGCTGACAAAATTCCTGGGCTGATTCACAGCAGTATTACTCCACTGTTATGTCATGGTATTACACCCATATGGAAATAGTGTCATACAATGGTGAATCAGGCCCCAAATATATCCTACATTTGCTGTTTTATATAATTTAAATCCTCGATAATTTTTATAGACCTGCAGATAGCTCTGAAAAAACAAATTAAAGCTGTTGGAACCCTTTTATCTGTTATCACATTAGTTTTTAAATCTGTTTTAAAAACAAGAAAACCCAGTAAAATAAATGACAATGCAAATACAATTAAACCTCTCATGTAACCTCTAATGTGAACAATTCACCTACAATTCTGGGTTCATGTTGATACACTTTACATGTGTCCATTAGATAGGTCATCCATACTGTACCTCTGGTGAAGAGTCTGTTTGCGTGTGGATTTAGTGACTTGATATTGCACAAAGCGAGGTATTAAATCAGGATTCAGTTTAAGATAAGCACCACGATTGCTGCCATCTTCATAGTAGTTAGAGGCAGAAAAAATAGTGATAACCTGATTATAAAAGACGGATAAAATCAATGGGATTGAGTAAAGCTGCCCCATTTGGGGACTGAAGTTTAAAACTGGTTTTAGTGAGACCGGTTACAAAATTAAATAAATCAAGTGTAAAACCATAATAATATATAAGCCTGCAATGGCCACTCAGCTAAACAAAATGTCAGCTCTAATATTACCTATTTGATTTATTCCCTGAATAAATCAGTTTATAAAACAAATAGCACTTAGCTACTTCTTGCAACACAAGCAACATTTCATTTGGGCTCTAAATCATGGTTTTGAATCTCCTTCCCTTCTATTTATCTATCCAGGTCAGGGATAGGGAGAGGTGGAGAGAGAAATAAAAAAGAAGGAAACTATTAAGAGGAGTTGAAGGAACATGTATACATTGATACATATAAAACAGTTGGTCCTCCTGACCTTTCCCATACAGGGAAATCCACTTCTCATGTAGCAACAACAAAAGGAGGAGAGAATGTTCATGACCCTCACGTTGCAAACCCATGTAATAATGTATGTGATTTATAATAATGAACTACAGCATAGCTACAAAAAGTTTATTGGAATTTTAAACATAAGCAACAGGAATGATGAAGAGACATCTTCCCTATCAATGCCCAGTACTAGAATTTATCCAGGGTAAGATTTCAGGCATAAAAATGTAGCTCTGATTGTTTTCCTACCTTCAGTGGTGCTCTAAATAGCTTTTGTGCTGACAAATTTTCAGTATGCAAACAAAAGTTTCAGGAGCACTTGCAGGAAGGTCTACAATGTTTCTATTACAAAGTGCTGGTCCTCACATTCAGTAGACCTTTAAGTGAGCTGATTTTCTGTGACACAAAGACACACTTTAAAAAAATGCACCTTTCTAAGGGGAGGCTAGTCTGACTTGGAGGTTTTTAGTGATTTCAAAGTACAGATGGCTATTGCACCATTCTTGCAGTCATTAACAAATCTCTCTTCCCTTTCTCCCAAAGGTGAGGGTAGTTTTGCCTAAGAAAGAACTTCTTGAATCAACCTCATATGAGTGGTGAATATTCCCACTACCTGTTTTATAGAACTTATCCTTTTTCACCACTCAACTTAGTTGCTAAGTTTGAGCTTGTGACGTTCACAGCAAAATTTTACTTTAAATTATAATGAGGATCTTACCTTCCCATCATGACTGATCTCATAACCTTCTTGTTTACACTCATGAGACCTGATCAGCATCTTCAGATTATACCGTTTAAGAAGCCTGGCAGTAACGTCGGGCCCAAAATAGCAACCACCTCCTCGAACTTTGTTTGGTGTGCAGCCATTTTGGTTTTTTGGATCACTCCAAAGAATATCAACCACCTTTGAATAGCAAACCAATGCATATGATTACTGACAACTAGTACAACACATGCTACAACCTCAGACATTATTTAGAAATGCCAGCTATTTCAGGGGCCCCAAGCACAATAAGATACAACTAAGCACCAATATAATCTTCTCAATTTTTCTTTCTTTCCTTAAACTAGTTGTGACGGAGCGCAAACGCCTCGCCACTGGACAGCTTTAAACACCAACAGTGCGGCTGAGATGGGGGCAGAGAGGATGTCCCTCCAGAAGATGGAAGGAGAGCCGGAGGCGACGGGGGACGTACCCGACCGGCAGGATGAAGAGCCGGCGGGTCCACCTGCCCAGGCCGGGAGAGGAGCAGCCCGCGGCTGGGCGACGGGCTGAGGTGGCACCCCCAGGGGAAGCAGATGGCGTCCCGACTGGAGATGCTGGAGAACCAGGTACCACAGTTGGAGAGAGAGGGAGGAATAGGAAGGAACCCAAGTTGGCTCGTCCCACGGGGCTGGAGACTTGTGGAGCGGAATCCCACTCCAGCCTTAAAGGGTCGGTGTTCTCCGACCCCTAGGGCCCTGGCTTGGGGCCCGGAGGTGAAGGTGGGCCCGGGTCCCCCTACCCACTCCCCTTCCCCCTCCCTCACCCAAAGGGAAGACAGAAAGAAGGGGAGTGACTTTGAGGGGCCGCGGCAAATGTGGCGGCCCATCGGAGACACTGGGCAGAATACCCCCCCTTGGGTGGGGGACCCTCAAAGTATACACAATTGTCATTGCTCGCTGTCAAAGGGTTGGTGAAATAACCCGCACACCCCAGGGACCGGGTGGTGTTGGGAGGGGGAGCTGGACCCTCCCCGTGTCCCTTCCACCTACCTGCCCGGGGGAGGGGGGGGAAAGAGGAAAAGGGAGGCGGGACCAAGGGGGGATAGGTAGACCCCAGCTGTGCGCCGCCTGACACTAGTACATTCCTTTTACTTAGAAAACATTTCTTTTCACTTGCATTTACAGGGGTGCTGGAACAATTTTTATAGAATGGGTACTGAGAGCTTTTGAACCAAACTGGAAACCCTGCATATAATGGAAACCACTTCAAACCAGGGGGAGCCACAGCACCCCCATGCCCTGAATTCCAGCACTTATGTGCCTTTACTACAAATAAGCCATCTGAGCTTTTAAATTTAAATCACTAGGTAGATTTTACACTGAATTTCCAAACAATTACAGAAATAGCTTGTCAAGAGAGAACAAAATTTTTGTTTTCTGCTGTCTCTGGAAGACACACATGTCAAAAGAATGGTCCAATTTCCACACTAGAGTTTTATCAGTCTTAACTGTATTAGCTTAGGGACCTGCCTTTTTAAGACACAAGGTTTCCTAATGTTAGAAGAGAGTTGCTTGT